TTATTATTTCTTCCACTTTCAACTACCACCAATTACATTTTTTCTGAACTTTTGATCAAACCAGACTTTGTTCCATTATTTCAAAACCCCCAAACTTCGTCTATTTCCTTTTTTGCTTCCACTAATTTCATCTTTTCATTTCCTCTAATTTACAATCTCTTTCCTAGATCCCTTTGAGATTCAGACATTAGGATGTGAGCTGCACTCTGAGAGAGCCATAGTAGGCATCTATGGTTTTGCTTATCAAGGATCAGATTTCCTGCAATTCCAGAACAATTCATGGCTGCCATCTCCAAAGGGTGGAACAAGAGCTCAGGATGTGAGCAGAGTATTCAATCAGTACCATGTCACCAAGAGAGAAAAGTACAGAGCATTCTAAGTGACTGCCCATGTCTCCTCTTGAGTATCCTCGATGCAGGGAAGACAGATCTCCAGAGACAAGGTCAGTCCCATAACCTTCCTCCAAGAGTTTTCTAAAATTCTACCTTCTCACCACCCCTTTAAATTGAGAGAAGGAGTCAAAAGGGAGAAAGATAATGGGTGAATTCCCAGCATGTCATAGATATGTCAGTCTAAACCAGTGATGGCGAACCTTTTGAGCTTGGTGTGTCAGCATTTTGAAAAACCCTAACTTAACTCTGGTGCCGTGTCAGATATAGAAATTTTTTGATATTTGCAACCATAGTAAAACACTTATATTTTTGATATTTATTTTATATATTTAAATGCCATTTAACAAAGAAAAATCAACCAAAAAAATGAGTTCGCGTTTCACCTCTGACACGCGTGTCATAGGTTCACCATCACTGGTCTAAACTGATGTGAAGATATGAACCTCCAAGTCTGTGTTAGAATCCTTATCTTAAAACTAGAGGCCCAGTGCACCAATTTGTGCACAGGTGGAGTCCCTTGGCCTGGCTGGCAATCGGGGGTGATTAGGTCCACTGTACGGAAGGGACCGCGGGACATGGGCCAACCAGGAAGGAACAGCAGGAGGGCTACAGGGTGTATCAAGCCGGTCTCACCCAATCCCTATCGGCCAGACCCCAGCAGAAAGCTAACCTGCCAGTTTAAACGTCTGCGCAGTGGTGGTCAGTGTGTGTCATAGCAATTTGTGGAAGAGCCAGACGAAGGGTCAAATGAATCGTCGGACACTTAGATTACACTTTTATTATATAGTATCTTTCCTGTTCTCTGCAGTAAAACCAGAGGCCTGGCTGTCCACTGGCTCTAATCCTGGTCCTGGCCGACAGATGCTGGTTTGCCATGTCTCTGGCTTCCATCCAAAGCCAATTTGGGTAAAGTGGATGCGAGGTGAACAGGTACAACAGGGCACTCAACAAAGTGTTATCTTGCCCAATACCTCAGGTTTTCTTGGAGGTAGAAGCCACTGAGACATCTGACTTGTATTGCCGGGAGAGACATACCAGCCTAGGAGGCCAGGACATCCTCCTCTACTTGGGTAAGAAACACTGGGACTCACACTGGGAGTAGGGGTAGATGGTCCACTAGCAGAGCAGGAGAGCCAAGTAAAACATTTGAGATTATTAACTCCAGACCCAAAAGAATGAAAATAGTTCAACTAAAAGAGTTAAAAATGAGAAACCTGCAGAAGTAGGAAGATGTTGAGGGTTAGGTGAAAAATTCAACTCTGAAGAGGGAGGAGAGAGGAAACAAGAACAAAGATTAGTGAGGGGAACACTCTAATAAAAAAGACAAACCAGGGAAAGGCAGTAAACAGGGGGTGGGATTGAAATGACACCCTGTGTGCACCCAAACCCACAGAACATCATCATAATTCCGTGGGCTGGATCATCTTGGCAGTGATGGTGCCCCTGGTGCTTCTGACAGCTCTTTCATTTTGGCTTAGGAAGCGCTGGTATTTTGTGCCCATCTTTCCTGTTCTTTCACCCACTCCCTACTTGTCTTCCCACCTTTCTTCTCTCTCCTCTTAGTCCTTCTTCCTCAGTCCCTTTCCTTTTACTCTTCAGTTCTCACCTCCACCTCATGCAGAGTAACTTCCTTTTCAGTGTACTTTGCTGAATGACTTCTCATTTTTTATCCATTGTTGCAGTCATGTAGGCCCCTTTTCACCTTCTAATTTTTAACTTGAGAGCAAAGTCTATGTCTTTTTAAAATCTGTATCATTTACAAAGTGTATAACTGTATGTAATATGCTTTCAATAAAAGCCTATGTTAAGTTTGCTTAGCATTTACCACTCAGATCAGATACCTGAAGTTCTAGAGCAAGGAAGGAGAAAACAAGGAAGTAACAAGTGACAATATTATATATCCTGCTACTTAACACAAACGCAGTTTTCTATCAATTTGTGAAAAGAATATACTATTTAAAGTTAATTCAGGTTTGAGGTGTATGAAAAGAAAATTTGAGGCAATATCCATAAAAGTACACAAGAAAAAACTCAAGAAAGACAGACTTTATTTTAACATAAAAGTTCTATTTTCTCGTGAGGCAGCAACAAGTGTTCAGATACAGGGAATACATAAGTACACAGTAACTATTTATTACCATTGGAAATGCTGTTCTTTTAGGGAGAATTTTATTAGAAAAACAAAAATTTTAAAAATTGCATTTAAAAAAGATTTAAACAGCTTCAACAGAGATGAAAGATACAAACTTTAAAAAAACATAAATTATATTCTTCAACAGGATTGCATAAACAAAATATATTGTTCAGGGCTGCTCTGCCTATAATTAATTTAAGGCAGAGTAAAACTTAAACATTAAAGTGCGGAGTTAAGTATTCTTATCTTAATGCAAATTCAGCACTTCCTCTGGTCCGGTTACCTCCACTGGTCAATGCATCAAGGAATGAATCTTAAGTTTGAATAGTACAGTAAATTCAGTAGTGGCAATTTTCCTGTTACTTCCTTTAACAAAAGAAAATCTTGACAAACCAGTCCTAAACTTGGACATACCCAAGGCTACAAATTCTTCCATTTTTGAATTCCTTTGAGTAAAAGCCAACCATTGAAAAAGAAAAAGCCTGTCTTTTTGCCAGTTATTCCACAGGTACCTATAGCACCTTCTAAAAGGCGAATTTGGCTTGTCATAAGTGTAAGATAAACAGTTTAAACAACATGAAAAATCTAGAGCAAAAATAATTTTGGCACCCATACTCACATTAACCAAAAAGGAAAAACAGGTATTTTTAAAAAACATAACTGCTCACAAAAAAACATGACAAGCAACAGACTCAGTCATGATCAAAACCAGTAAATTTACATGTCTTTATCAAAACAAATTCTTTAAGGGTAAAAAAAAATAACTTAAGACTGATAAAGTAATTAACCACAGAGTAGCTCCTTTTGCCAAAATATACATGCCACCTATTTCTTTTAATACAATGGAAACACATTTATTTAAAATTATAAAAAAATTAAATTATATTCCCATTGAAGTTATTCTAATTTACTTACTGTACAGTTTTCTATAGAATAACAATTGTAGAATGTAATTTTAGAAAACAGTATTGAGACTGATTAAAAAAAATCAACCCCTTGTGAACTAAGGGTTAAATAAAGTGGAATGGACCTAAGATTAGTCTATTTTCTAGACTGCGATAAAGCTCCTATGTTTAAAATTAGCCCTTTGGCACTGGCAGTTAAAGTTATTTTTAATTTGTACCTTTTTTTTTCTTCTTCAAATATCAGGCTCTATTTCTCCCAAATCCACGGGATATCCTTGGTTGCCATACAATTCATTTACCTACAAATTCACATTCTCTTTACAACCAGACAAGTTCCATTTACAAGACTATGTAAATAATAAAGTTATCCCATTCCCATTTTAAATTACTTTAGGTTAAGGATATATGAAACTCTACAGAAAAACAAAATAGACAAATTTGTTTTGTCTATTTGTGAAATAGACAAACATGCACAACAGAGTAAAAGGAAAAACTTTACCAAGTGGCATTCTAACTGTAAAATACCCTTGTAACTTGTAGGGACAGAGACACAGAAAGTTAAGTGTGAGGCAAAGAAAAGAACACGGATTTAACAGAACGCAAGTCATCCAAAAACAGGCATGTGTGTTTTTTAACCTTGTCTTGAACTTCTTCCTGCCTTTTACACTAACTCACCTGACCTCAGTTTTACCTTTCCTGTACTGCTGACAGAGCAGTTCTCTGTGGGGAAATAGTAAAGTCAAAGGCAAAAAATCAAAGTTCTCAGTAAACCAAACAGAACATTTAGATCCTATATAACTGACTCAGAAGCCACATGTACAAATTCCAAGTAAATTAATTTTAAACAAAAAAGGTACCAAAATTCATCAGTCTCACCAACTAACCTGACAGACTTATGTTTGAATTTATCTAACTTCCCTAAATACATCTCCATTTTAACTTTAACAGGGCATGCTTTTCATTACTTAGAGATTTTAAAATTGCATTTTCAAAGGTTCCTGTTGCTTATGCCCCAAAGCTCTCCTTTCCCTGTTTTCCCCACTGAGTGGAATGTTGGACAAACAACTAGCAAAACCTGTAGGTACCATCTCAGTGCCAGCTACATAAAGAAAACATCAGTCGAAAGACTCTGTGACTACGGATTGCTATTCAATGGATTAGGCTCCTGGCAAACTACCAACCCGGACCAACTCCACAAGACAACATCACAAAAGCAAAGAAGGAAATCCATGCACCATCATTTTATGATCTCTGGGACTATGATACAGTGATGATGAAAGGTAGGATGATACCTGTGGTAAAAGGAGATCATCTGACAAATATTGTGCAGAAAACCAAAGGGGCTTATTACTCCTAGCTAGCAATCAACACTGGGCAGCTTCCTACTGGCTCATGTATTTTCAAACCAATTTCCAATGATGGGTGAGAACTTGTTAAGCACTCATCTCCAGACTACAATTTTTCTGAGCACATGGTGGAATGTACACAGGAGTAGTGAAGAGAACAGCAGTTTTACAAATATTTCACCCAAAGCACAAACTTCTGACATCAAAAAACATAAATCACATAATGTACTAATATTGCTTTTTATTTCTTTTTTTATATACTTGTTCAACGCATTTACTTATCAATTCTTGTTTGGGAGGAGAACACAGTCATGAGAATAAGATTGCTGGGGAAATGTCAACAATCCCTTTGGTCCCAAAGCTGAAAACAGCTGAGAAAAGCACACATTGAGAAAGGGAAACAAGAAACAGAGGCCACCAAAGAATCTTTTGAACATCTGTTTGCTACGTTTCAGAAAATGTCACATTGGTTTTATAAAATAGTCGTTATCATATAAAAGATGGTTCTTGCAGCATCATTCACGTCTCCAGGAATCATTTGCAGGGGTCAGTGTTTTGTTGTGTTTTTGTTTCTAAAGAAGTTTAATTTAAAAACAAAACAACAAAAAAAGTGGTATCAGCCCACCAAAAGCAAAGGATGAGACCTTTCTGTTTCAACTGGCGCTTTAGGAGAAAGCAGGCTAAGCACTGAGGGCTGGCCTTCCAGCGAGCCGGCCACCAGAGGGTGTTCTTCCAGAAGCTGTGCTGGGAGTCACCCTGGAAGCCTGAGCAGGGCACGGCCAAGTGAGCACGAACGCAAGGTGCCATCACAGTCAGGAGATCTGAGGGAGCAGTGGCTACGCAGCACTGGGACCTACCCTTCAGCCTCCTCAATCGGTTCGGGTGGTGTGAGTAGCGAGGCCGAGGGCAGGATTGTACTTGTTCCTCGGGAGACTCGGTCTTGCTCTGCAGACAGGGAGGCCATGGCGATGGGCTGCAGCAGAGTGGTCGTCATGCCAGTGGTGACTGTCAGGCTGTGGCCAGAGCCCTTGAGGGTAAGATCTGGCGTGGGAAGGAGTGGCTTGAGGATGCTGACGAGGCAGAAAGCAGAGCTGCTTTTAGGAATGAAATTCACCTTGTTTTTGTCAGGACAATAAAAGGCTGGGATTTCGTGAAGTTGTTTTGGCCTAGATATAGAACAGACAACCCAATGCATTTAAGTCACAGAACAGTGGAAATCAATTCCTTTATTATTATTTTTTTAAAGCAGATAACAGACACATATAGGGAATACAAATTCAAGCTACGTCAAAAGCTTCAAATGTTATGGACCAAAGAGGGATTGGACACGATTCAAAATCTGTATTTCAGAACGCCGGGAGGACACCATTCACCTTGCTGCTGTCAGTTTCCTGGTGAGCCCGGTGCACCAGAAGCTTTCCCAGGCTGCCAAAAGGGTCCACAGCACAAAACAGGTAAAGAGCTCCTGCAAGAGGGGCTGAGAGATGTGATAAAATGGCTTGTAAAAGGCTTACAAGGAGCACAGGAAGTGACAACCAGTGCACAAAGGAGGAGGGAGAGTTTGGGGAGAAGCAGCCTTCCAAAGGAAGTCACACCTGAGCTGGGTGGTAAAAAATGAAGAAACAGGCCTTGGGAGTGGGTGCAAAAAGAAAAGAGTGTCAAGTGGCAACGCTTTGGGAGGCAGATTTTACCGATGAACAGTGAATACTACCCAGGAACAGCGCTGACAAATGTAATAATTTATTAATAAAGACATTACATGAGGGAGTGGGCTCATGAAGACAGGCCCTGCTCCAGCTGCCACCTCGCTGGTCCTCTCCTGGCCTAAGCCTCCCCCTGAAGGCTCTGGCAGCAGAGGCCTGGGGTAGCGGACCTTGGTTCCAGCCTCTGAACCCTGAGCCTCAGTTGTCTCAGCTCTGAGATGGGTTGAACACCCCCTACCTTTCAGGATTGTCACTGGGACTTAAGGAAATAAATCCCAATGCCTGGCACACAGGTAAGTGTTCAATAGATGGCAATGCCCCCTCTCTGTGTGGGACCTATGAAGATTCTAGCCCCGTGCCTCCCCTGGAAGGGTCTAGATCTGCTCTGTCCCCGAGAAAAGTCACAAAATGTGGCCAGTCAGAATTGAGATGTGTCATCAGAGTGAACTATACAGCAGATCCTGGCAACCTGGTACGTAAAAGGAATGCAAAATACCTCATGAATAACATTTTACATTGACTACATGTTGAAATGACAATATGTCTGGTACATTGGGTTACATGAAACATATTATTAAATTTAAAAATTACATCATTTAAATTGTTTCTTGAATAAAACAGAAACTTAACTCATTGAGTACTTTTAGGCCCACAAATGTGTTTGGCTATGCTGCTGTTAAGAGGACACACTCCTCTATTTTTACTATCTAAGAGTATGTTTTTCTTTTTCTTTTTTTTAATCCTCATTCGAGGAAATTTTTTCATCAATTTTTAGAGAGAGAGTGGAAGAGAGAGGGAAAGACAGGGAGGGACAATATGAGAGAAACACATCGACTGGCTGCCTCCTGCATGCATGAGCCCTGACCATGACCAGGGCAGGGGAGGAGCCTGCATCAAAGGTACGTGCCCTTAACCAGACTCAAACCCAGGACCCTTCAGTCCACAGGCCAACGCTCTATCCACTGAACCAAACCGGGTAGGCTTAATTTTCTTTATTAAAATTTTTTTTTTTTTACTTTAGAGATGAAGGAAGATGGAAAGACAAACAGAAACATCAATGATGAGAGAGAATCACTGACCAGCTGCCTCCTACGTGCCCTCTACTGGGGATTGAACCCACAACCCGGGCATGTGCCCTGACAGAGATTATAGGTCCATGTTCAACCAATGAACCACACCAGTTGGGCAAGTCCTAGGTTGTTATTTGTTTGAAGCTATCTTCTTTTATTTTATTTTTTAAAATATATTTTACAGATTTTTTTTAGAGAGGAAGGGAGAGGGAGAGAGAGTTAGAAACATCGATGAGAGAGAAACGTCAATCAGCTGCCTCCTGCACACCTCCTACTGGGGATGTGTGTGCAACCAAGGTACATGCCGTTGACTGGAATTGCACCTGGGACCTTTCAGTCTGCAGGCTGATGCTCTATCCACTTAGCCAAACCGGTTAGGGTAGAAGCTATCTTCTTTTAAACTTTAAATTTTATTTTTAAAAATTGATTTTAGAGATGGGGTGGGAGAGAGGGGGGCGGGGAGGAGGGAGAGTGAAGGAAGGAGAAAGAGAGAAAAAACATAGATGTGAGAAAGAAACACTGATTGGTTGCCTTGCATCCTGATCAGGGACTGTACCTGCAACCTGTATGTGCCTTGACCAGAATTGAACTGCCACGTTTTTGGTATATGGGACAATGCTCCAAGCAACTGAGCCACGCTCGCCAGGGCTGAGTTTATCCTCTTAAAAATGACCTAAGACAGCACTGGCTGGTATGAGTTGGCTGTAGTGTCATCCTGTGTACCAGAATGTCACCGTTTCAATTACTGGACAGGGCACATACCTAGTTGCTGATTAAACCCCCAATCAGGAGTGTGTGTGCCAGTGTCTATCTCTCTCTCTCTCTCTCTGTCTCTCTCTCCACCTAAAATCAGTAAAAACATATCCTTGGTTGAGGATTAAAAAATAAAAATAAACTAAAAAAAAAATCACTTCAGACATGTGGCTGTCAATGGATCTTAAGGATGAAAACCCACATTCCTAAAATACAAATGAACTACGTGACTGGTATATATATGTGTGTGTGTGTGTGTGTGTGTGGGTATGTCTATATATATTTATAATATGTGATTATAGAGGCTGGCAAATCAGAAATTCATAGGGATGGGGAATGGCAAGTCTGAAACCCATGGGGCAAATCTCCTGGGTCCCCTTAATTAGGGTGGCCCCCGCCCACCCCCCACCCCCGAAATCGAGCCTGCAACCCAGGAATGTGCCCTTGACCAGAATCAAACCTGGAACCCTTCAGTCTGCAGGCTGATACTCTATTAACTGAGCCAAATCTGCTAGGGCCTGACTGATACTTTTTAATGAATCTAAAAAGTTTAATTTCCTGTGGCTTTCATAAAAACACTTATGAAAATATTTGCACAAAATAATATAAACAGTAACTTTGTCTAACTAGCGCCTAGATCAAGAAAACAGGACATTAACAGTAAAAAGCACCAAAAAGCCCCAACCCACCAAGAGTAATCATTCCTGACCTCTAACATTTAACTTCTAGAAGCATATTACCTAAGAATCACACTACCAACTCCTGGGACTATATGACTTATACTTATGGTAATAGAAGGTGTTAAGTATTCATATTATACCAAACCTTTCTTCTCAACTTAAGAACCATAACTACCAAAACAAAACAAAAAATCTCAGAAAGTTTTAAAATTTTATTTTTCCTTAAAAAGTTATTTTCAAAGACAGACCACATTTTAGGACACAGGCAAAGTCTCTTCAAATTCAAGAAGACAGAAATCATACCAAACATCATCTCAGATCACAATGGCATAAAATCAGAAATCAACTACAATAAAAACAATGAAAAAAAATCAAACACTTGGAGGCTAAATAGCATGCTATTAAACAAGTATTGGGTTACCAAAGAGATCAAAGAAGAAATAAAATGCATCCTGAAACAAATGACAATGAAAACATAACAATCCAAAATCTATGGGACACAGAGAAAGCAGTCCTGAGAGGGAAGTTCATAGCTCTACACGCTAACCTTAAAAAAAAACAAAAAAACAAACAAAAAAAAAAACAAGAAAAAATGGTAGTAAATTATCTAACTTTGCAACTTAAAGAGTTAGAAAGAGAACAACAAGAAAACCCCAGAGGAGCCAGAAGGAAGGAAATAATAAAGATCAGAGCAGAAATAAATGACAGAGAGACCAAAAATAGAAGAAAATATTTGGTTCTTTGAAAGGATAAACAAGATTGATGAACATCTAGCCAGGCTCACCAAGAAACAAAGAGAGAGGACCCAAATAAACAAAATCAGAAATGAAAGAGGTAAAGTAACAATCAACCCCACAGACATATAAAGGATTGTAAAAAAATATTACGAACTACTCTACCCCAACAAACTGGACATCCTCGACGAAATGGACATATTCCTAGAAAAATACAACCTTCCAAAACTCAATCAGGAAGAATCAAAAAACCTGAATAGGCCGATAAGTATTGATGAAATTGAAACAGAAATCAAAAAGCTTCCAGCAAACAAAAGCCCTGGACCAATGGCTTCACAGGGGCATTTTACAAAACACTCAATGAAGAACTAAAAGCTATCCTCAAAGTATTCCAAAAAATTCAAGAGGAAGGCACACTTCCAAGCTCTTTCTATGAAGCCAGCATTACCCTAATCCCAAAGTCAGATGAAGACACTATAAAGAAAGAGAATTACAGGCCAATATTCCTGATGAACATACATGCTAAAATTAAAATCCTCAATAAAATTCTGGCAAACCAGATCCAGCATTACATTAGAAAGATCATACACCATGACCAAGTGGGATTTACTCCGGAGATGCAAGACTGGTATAACATCCGCAAATCAATAAACATGAAACATCATATGAACAAATTGAGAGACAAAAATCACATCAAGTGATGCAGAAAAGGCACCTGACCAAATCCAAAACCCTTTTCTGATAAAAACTCTCAGCCAAGTGGGAATAGAGAGATCATACCTCAACATAATTAAAGCCTTATATGACAAACCTACAGCCAATATCATACTCAATGGACAAAAATTAAACCATTTCCCCTAAGAACAGGAAAAAGACAGGGATGCCCTCGTTCACCACGCCTGCTCGACACAGTACTGGAAGTGCTAGCCATAGTGATCAAACAAGAAAAAGAAATAAAAGGCATCTAAATTGGAAAAGAAGACATAAAACTGTCATTTGCAGATGGCGTAATATTGTACATCGAAAACCCTAAAGACTTCACCAAAAAGCTACTAGACTTAATAAATGAATTTGGCAATGTAGCAGGATACAAAATTAATACGCAAAAAATCTACGGTTTTTTTAATATATTTTATTGAGTTTTTACAGAGAGGAAAGGAGAGAGATAGAGAGTTAGAAACATCGATGAGAGAGAAACATCGACCAGCTGCCTCCTGCACACTCCCCACTGGGAATGTGCCCGCAACCAAGGTACATGCCCTTGACCGGAATCGAACCTGGGACCTTTCAGTCCACACGCCAACGCTCTATCCACTGAGCCAAACCGGTTTCGGCTACGGTTTTTTAATACACCAACTATAGGCCTGGTGCACAAAATCATGCATGGATGGGGTCCCTCAGCCTGGCCAGCGACTGGGGCTGATAGGGGCCATTTTGCCTAGTCCGGGGCGGATGGGCTGCGGGAGATTGGCCGGGGGTGAGAGACCTCGAGAGGTTGGCCGGCTGCAGGAGATTGGCTGTGGAGCATACTGACCACCCAGCCGGCCGGGGGGAGGGATCGCGGGAGGTTGGCCGGCCGTGGAAGGTTGGCTGTGAGAGTGCACTGACCACCAGGGGCAGCTCCTGCAATGAGTGTCTGCCCCCTGATGGTCAGTACACATCATAGCTACTGGCCAGTCGACCGGTCACTTAGGCTTTTATATATATACCAGAGGCAAGGTGCACAAAAATTTGTGCACTGGGCAGGGGGGGTGGAGGGGGTAGTGTCCCTCAGCCCAGCCTATGCCCTCTTGCAGTCTGGGACCCCTCAGAGGATGTCCACCTGCTGGCTTAGGCCCGCTCACCGGGGGATTGGGCCCAAGCTGGCAGTCAGACATCACTCTGGCAGCCCGGCAGCCTTCAGGGGATGTCCACTTACTGGCAGGGAGCAGACCTAAGCTGCAGTTGGACATCCTTAGTGCTGCTGAGGAGGCGGGAGAGGCTCCTGCCACCACCGCTGTACTGGCAGCCATTAGCCTGGCTTGTGGCTGAGCAGAGCTCCCCCTGTGGGAGCACATTGC